CTCCCCCCGCCAGCCTCAAAGAGAGGGGTCATTTGAGGGGAGCTCACCTCTTGCAGTATGTGGGCCGGCATCTTGGCGTTGGGCGCTGGGGTCACGCTCCCAGGGATGAGAATGTGCAGCGAGCTTCAGACCTCGGGACTGAGGGTGCTATGACCAAGTTTCTGCAGCCCACTGGTGCAGAAACCCTGAGCTCCCTGTGCAAGCCCTGGGCCAGAGCTGGCAGTGAGGTAATCGTGTCCTATATTTCCTTAGGTTCGTTTTATTGATCAATGACCAGATACAAAATCAAAAGCTGGCTGGCCAAGGCAGGGGAGGGCGGAGATAAGGATAGGAAACGAGAGGACGCCAAAATCGCAGCTTGCAGCCACCAGTGTCCAGGAGTCAGAATACTGCAGACACCAACACCGCATTGTCCCATCCCCAGTCAGGAGGAGGGGGGATGCTAATGAGGCTTTCGTAAACTCTGGCTAGTCATTGGCCGACGGGAATTTGGTACCACCTCGTCCTGCTGCTCTCATTGGCTCTGCACAATCTGCTGTTCCCTCTGCCTCCAACTCCTCCTCCCCTCCTCCCTTCTTTTTCTGCCTCTAGGCTTCTCACCCATCCCCCGCTGGTCCTCCACCCAGCCCCCACCCCGCCACGGGGGCGCTTCGGCGCTCTCTCTGGGAGAGAAGACCCAATCCAGCAGTGGGGGTTGGCTTCCAGGCCAGGAAGACCCGGCGAGGTACATAGAGGTTGCACAGTTGGGGAAGCCACGATAGCGACGACCACTCATAACTCCATCGGATCTTGGCATTTCCAGAGGCGCGTGGGAGGGGAAATGGCTACCACCAACAGAGAGCAAAACTGAGAGGGGCCTGCAAGCCCGCCTCCCTCCCCAACAGGCGCCTCTGTAGACCTTGCTGGAACAATGGCTCTGCCTCGCCCACCAGCTCCAGGGTGCTTACCAGATAATACCCGGAGCTCTGGTGCCATAACCAAGTTTTTATAGATCTGCGACCTGCCCATTTACACCAGGCTCAGTTACTAAGGCCACTGTGCACAGTCCGAGGGCACAGCCACCGTCAGTCGGCAGTATCCAATCCCACCCCCATCCCCATGCCTTCCAAATGCACGTGGCACTGTCAGGTTGGAATTCTGCAGTTTTATGGAAAAGACCAGGAAACAGCAGGCCGAGGGACTCGCATGTGGAATAGGAATAGAGAACGCGTGTTGAATGACTGCTGCAAGCCTCACTGTGACCGCGCAGTGGGGACTCCATCCTTCCACTTTAAGCAGGAGGAACGTGACAGACACAGATAAGATAGATTGGCGAGTAAGTGATGAAGCTGGCTGAGCACAGCGATGTGAAACCAACCGATGCCCGAGCTCTCGGCCCCTACCTAGGACCCTATGGCCCTTGCACCCTTAGGTGCTCTGATCTCACACAGAGACCTACCCTTCATGGCCCCATCTTCTCTGCGTCAGTGTTAACTATCAAGAGAGCGTGTAGCCTGGCAGGCTATGCAGTCTGCTTCCATATACAGGCCATCCCATTATCATCGCATTGCCCACCTCCTCTAGGAAAGGACTTGGTAGAGATTGGCTACTCAAGAAGAGAGGTGGCAGGCATTTCCTGGGAGCAAGATAGACAGACCCTTTGCCTCCTGGTTCTCAGGGGCTTGCCAGCTCTCTAGCTAGTGATTAAGACACCTTCATTCCAGGCCTGGCCTCGCTGGCCAGTGCTGGCTAGGAATGCTGATTGGGATTCTCGAAAATGGCAGTTGAGTTGTCTTGGCCCAGAAGTGCTGTGTGAAGTGAACTTATCTGTAGGTGCCACTGCCCCTTGGGTTGTCTGTGTGATGGCTGATGGGCTTGGTTCTTTTACCGGCTGTGTCCTTGGCTGCCAACAGAAACTCCCTTAGACTGTGAGGCTTATACATCAGAAATCGGTTTCTCACCGTTTGGGAGGCTGAGCATCTACATCAAAGCACCAGCTGTCTGATGTCTGCCAAACATGGGCCTCCGATTCACAGGTGGCCATTATTTCTCTGTCTTCAGTGGGGGGCTGGGGGAGGTAAGCTTTGCCTCTGTGGAGTTTCTATTTTTTCTTCTTTCTTTTTATTTAGAAACAATCATTTTGCATATCAATTCCCCCATTCCCTCTCCCTCCCATCCTCCCGTGCCCCCTCTCCACCCCCCCAACCCACCTCCCACCTGCTCCCCAAGGATGGTGAGGCCTTCCATGGGAGATCATTAAAGCCTGCCACTGGGGTTTCTATTTTTTTTTTTAAGATTTATTATTACTTTTAGTTGTGTGGTCGTATTGTGTGTGAGTGTGTACACGTGAATGCAGGAACTTGGAAAGCCAGAGGTGGTGGATCCCCTGCCGCTGGAGTTGAGCAGTTTAATATGGGTGCTAAGAATCAAATTCTGGTCCTCCGGAAGAATAGCAAGCACGCTTAACCACTGAACCTCATCTCCAGCCCGTAGGGTTTCTTTTGTAAGGACACTAATATCCATCCTCCAAGCCCCCATTCCAAATACCGGTGAGGTTTCACCATTATAGTTCAGATTTCAAAGTACTGCTTGCACTCTTTAGGGTAGAAGATGCAGGGTTCCTTTGGGATGCCTTAATTGCTGCAGAAGACTGCTCTACCTGGGAGACCTACTCTTGCACATTCTCAGCCTGCAGTCCACAGTGCTGCTGGCGCGGATACCTGGGGCTGGTTGGCGATGTTACTTAAGCCAATTGCTGTTGCACTCATCTTCTATCAGAGAAAGCTAGAGGAGGCTTGCCAAGACAACAGTGTAGAACAGGAGTCCTACATTTCTCTCCAAGACAAGTTGCTGCCCTGGGGAGAAAGCTCTGGGAGCCTAGAAAAGGGCTGAGTTAGGGAGAATGAATTCCCGGAAGAAAGAAGGTGGGAACAATGGAACTGTTGATAAGCAAGCAGTCCGCAGTCCGATGCTGCCTCGTTCATCTCATGCCTTCAGGAGTCCTTGACTGCACAAAATAAAGCTGTGTGGAAGGAATGGTAGGAGGGCAGCATCAGGCTTTGGCATCACAAAGCATTAAGTGACCATCTAGTTAAAAGTTATTGGTAATATGTGATGAACATTTGTCCACAGTCAAGTTTGCAGTGATGCAGGCAAGAGCTGTTTAGGTACGGCAATGCACAGTGTATGCTTGGAAGATGTGTATGCTTGTAACACCCCTGTATGAAAAGGGACACAAGGTGTTATGGCAGTTTTAAATTTTGACCCTTCAACTCAAGAGAATAAGAATAAAATACCTCCCATGTAGGCAACTTACATAAATAAGTTAATTTTAATTACAGGCATTCCTATTGGCCTTGGGATGAAGCATGTACTTCTTACCATAACTTTGGAGACCCTCTGGACCATGTACCTTCCCTGCTTATGTATATCCCTTGAATGTCCTCATTTCTCTTCAACCCCTTGATATTTTACTGTTAAACCTATGAACATTCCTTTCCTTTCGCCTAGAGCATTCTGCCCCTCCAACCCCTACCCACTGTTGGCCTTACTGTTTTATGACTTTGTTTTTAAATCACCCAATGGTTTACCAGGCTGGCTCTCCATGCCATGTGTTCTTTAAGCCCTCTGCTTTTCTGATATTTGTACTGGGATTTACCAAGAAGGTCAGATTTGAGTACCTGACTCAACGTGGGCTTTCAGTGGGCGTTTGTTCATTGAACTTGTTGAATACATCGTAAACAGATATTTGAAATATTACCCCTGTATTATCTTTTCCAGGACCATTCTCTTTTAAGCAATAGATGAGCATTATAGCAAAGGTTGTTTTGAAAAGAAGTGCCTTCGAGGTGTGTATTGTTTCTTTACTTCTCAACCAGGGTGGCAAGTGTTAGAACTTTCTAGGTGTGGGGAGTGGGGAGTGGAGATACAGCAGATGAATGGAGAGTCTTTTGTCTAGCATCACTTTGGGACCTTACAGTCGGTCTCTCACCGCGGCATATTTTCTACCTCTCATTTCTAAGCCAATGGCAGGAACTAGCTAGGCAAAGAGAATAAAGAAGAGAGAACCACACACTTGACTGTGAGCTGGCTTCATCCTAGCTCAGCAAAGCTCTTGCTAGAGAAATTCCTTTCATCACAGTGTGAACTCATCTTTCTCAGTGAGAGAAAAGAATAAAAATTACTGTAAGCAGTTATTCGCTATCATGTCCAGATACAAAGTAAGTATTTTCTAATGTGGAATGAGGTCAGGCTATTCCCATAAGCTCCATAAGGAATGTGAATTAATAATGATCTTTTAATTCACTCTTCTACCCATTTCACTCCCCTCCCCTTCCTTCATTCTTCCCCTTTCCTTTCCCTGCCCTTCCTTTCCTTCATGAACAATTCCAATCCAAAGGCATCAGCTAAGTAAGGTCTTTGTCCTCTGGGTGGTTGGATTTCTGGATCGCAAAGTGCCTAGAATTAGGTGCCGCAGTGTAAGCCACTGAAGAGCCCTTGTTCAGGATGTTGGTTGGCTCTGGGCACTGGAGCCTGAGTGGAGAAAGCAAACGACACTTCACTCCATCCCATCCACACTCCTGGAGGAGCAGCCTGATTCGGGTTGTTGGATCCCAAGTACAGAGAGAAGGGGATCTTTCAGTCTCTGGGAATCTTCCTTCTGGAAGGATCAGCTCTGCCCGTTCATTCCTTTCTGCTGAAGAACTCTGAACCATTTGAGAAATCTCAAGACTAAGCTTTCAAGTTTAGGTTAAGGAACTAAGGTATGTTAAGGTAGAGGGAACATTCTATTCTTTTTTTTTTTTTTTGGTTTTTTGAGACAGGGTTTCTCTGTGTAGCTTTGGAGCCTATCCTGGCACTTGCTCTGGAGACCAGGCTGGCCTCGAACTCAGAGATCTGCCTGTCTCTGCCTCCCGAATACTGGGATTAAAGGCGTGTGCCACCAACACCCCGATAGACTATTCTATTCTTATTTTAGTGAAAAGTTTGTTATCTTGCTCTATAAACCCACATTTGTGGGTGTTTCTTCTCTTGCTAGGGCCCTGGTTTTGTTTTCCACTTCATTATTCTTAGAAGAGAAACTGAGAATGTATAACTGAAGAAGCTGTCTGTGGGTCGGGGATGTGGCTCAGTGTTAGAGACCCCCGTCTATCAGCAGCACCACACGTAAAAGGAAAGATGAGCTGAGTGTTGCTGTTCATCCGTGTGATTTCCATACTTGGGAGTCTGAGGCAGGAGGAATTGGAGTTTAGAACAAGCCTTGGCGACTTTGTGAAACCTTGTCTAAAATACGCAAACAGCCTATGCCATTTATTACATCACTCTAAATTGCTGTTAAGTGTTCAATAAACCAGATGGCACAGGGATACTTCAGGTATGGGAAAAACAAGTGCCAGCCAGTCATTTTAGAGCCACAGGTCACA